CCACTCCTCCTAGTTTAGTGTCATCAGCAAATTTGCTGACAGAAGCCCAGAATTAACAAGAATTTATGACATGGCAATGAAGAACAGCATCTGATAGTCACTATAAGGAGAAAAACGAATAAAAGAGCAAATATAAACGATACAGAGAGTGAATTCTGCTACCATGACATGTTGTCTTCAGTGAGCTAGAAGGAACAGCTCATGTAGTTTGTTTGCATTACAAAACCAATTGCAAATGAAATATAATGAGTCTTTACCTATGGTGAAGCTTACCTGGAAATACAGTTTGTCCTTAACAGTTAGTGTGAAATTCCTGGTAGCCTTTGTGGTGTAGTAGTGAAGTTCCTAGAAGAAAATAAAAGGGAACAGTTCCTCCACAGAGGGGAGTGTGTTTGTAAGCAAAATATATTCTAAACACAGAAATTAGAAGTTACCTACAGTGTTAAATGTCACTGTGCTCTGAAGTCCAAGAGTCTCTTTCCTTGGGTAACAATCTCTGAAGCTAAATTTTTAAAATTATCTGTGCACAAGAACACTGTAATACTTTAAAATGTAATTTGGACACATGTGAGTTACTGTTACAGCATGTATGATGGCAGCAACTGCCTATTTAAATTAGGTACATATGCCTAATTGTGGACACATTTCTGCCCCCTTAGTTCCCAAAATCTAAGCCCTGGTTTCTATGCTGCTGGCACATTTAAGCTCAAATTTATTTTTTATACAAGCTTCAAAGCAGAAACGTCAGCTATAAGGAAACACAGAGAAAACCAAACAATGGGATGCATTTTTAAATCATCTGTACAGTGTAACATCTGCAGTATTTCTCTTTCTATTCTCATGTAGCTCACCATCTTCACAATGCCCAGTCTTTTTCTCAGCCTAAATCACAGCCAAGGAAAAAAACATTTAACAGAAACACAAACCAATTAATAGAGGACTTTCTCAAGCTTGACAGATATTTAAAAAGAAGTTTCAGTTATAATTTACACCTTTCCCTGCTTTTACCAAAAACATACCACACTGAGAATTCACAAGTTAAGGCTTCGTCATTAGAAATTGTAAATCATCCTGTAAACCAGTGGCTGCCCTCATTCGGATCGTTCAGTCAAAGCAAGTGACATGGCAGAATCGCGGTGCTGTGTCTGCTGTGGCCAGGCTGCCAGTGCTGACTTGTGAGTCCTGCTGTTCCAAGTTTTGTCTGGAGAGGAGGTTTTCTACGTCACTCTCATTGTGGGCGCAAACCTAATATGCCAGGATGGGAATACCAGAACTTAACGTGTCACTAGGGGTATAGACAGACTCATTAAAGGATTGTAACAGCCTCATTAAGAGCTTGAATTTCAAAAGTGATTGGTAGCCAACGATAACATTTATAGACGTCAAGAAAACATTCCTACATAAGTTTCAGCCCTAGTAATTACAAGAGAGCCCTCTATTTACTTGCAAAGGACAGATATGGCTGCACAGACGGATGGTTAGCTGAAAAGGAATCGTTAAGAGTTTCAACTCCACAGCTTTCACTGGTGTATTTGTTACCTTTCTCCTCATTTCTTCTCATGCAGGCTGCATGGTATATGAAAAGCTGGGTGAGCAGGTCTTCGGTACCCCAGGGAAAATGATTGTCTTTGGATCTACATCTCTCCAGAACGTTGGAGGTAAAGGAGATGAAGGTTACAGAAAAACAAAATCCAGGAACATCTTAGTAATGTTATGGCTACCGACCCGTCAGGTTCCTCCTTCTCTCAATGACATCTTGGGATCTTCATGCTCCTTAATATAGCTGTGGCTAACATTTTGCATGCAGCCCTTTAAAAAGGCTGTATGACTGAATGATCAGTACTTTACAGTCAATTATAGTTCAGGGTCTTCTGTCATCAGATGCTGATGTGGGAAAAGATTCAGGATGCTTCTCTGCACCTGTTCTGCAAAATGTCTTAACCATTTTCTAAACTGACTTTCTTCTTCCTCCAGCAATGTTGAGCTATCTCTTCATAGTCAAAAATGAGCTGCCTTCTGCCATAAAGTTTCTAATGGGAAGAGAAGAATCTTTTACGTAAGTTGAATTGATTTTGGTGACTGGATTATAGAATTTAATGTTGTGTAGATAAGTTTAAGCATATTTGAAGTATTGGATGCTTTTTAGGTTTGTCAAAGCAGATTTTCACAGCAATATCTCAGGGGGTTAGTGAAAACCGAGACAACTTTAGGAAGGAAGAGAGGGTGGATAGAAAATGAAAGGTTAAATCATCAGTAGTAACTCTCTTCGCACACCAGGTTTTCATGAAGAATTGTGATTTATACAAACCTCTTATCATAGGATCCGATCTTTTACAGTGTTAGGCAATGCTTGAAGATATTGAGAGCAATGCAAGTCTAAGATATAATGTATTTCCCTGTGTTCTTAGCATCTTACAGGATTTTGCCCCTGAAGCACTGTCCTTAGTATAAAATTCTTCGATACTAACATATGACAACAGCAGAACATTACACTAAGATTTCTGCCACTTATTACTCCTTGACATTTACCAGCTTCTTTAACAGAGGGGTGATATTTCTTCATAGTGGTAAATATCCTTTGCACTGGGCTATATGGTGTGCTGTAGTGCATGAGAAGAAGGTAGAGATCCCATTCCTCAGACTTTCGTACTAAATTGGACCAAGCAGTGGAAACAGGTCATACAGAACATCACTAACACTGTCCCTTCTCCCCTTTCTCGCTTTCCAGCAGGATTCAAAGCACTTTGCTAGAAGGAGATACAGCCTTGGGCTGGCCAGTGCGTGCTCAGGAGCCTGGTTTGCTGCTCCAGGCACGTGCCCGGATAGTTTAGCAAAGGAATCGTGGTGGCCTCCCTGCCCCACTGAGCTGTATGTGTGGCACTTTGCATGATCTTTCCTCATTTTGGCAGAGTGGCTTATGTCAGGTTACGGGTGTTGCTCTGCCTCTCGTTTCCACTCACCGATCTCAGCAGAAAGGTGATATTTTGTCTAGTGACTATGAAAATCTGCCATATCTGAGTCAGAGTGGTGCCATATTTTAAGGGCTGGTTACTTAATGAGAATACCAAGTTCAGATGTGGCCCCTGTCTCTCCTTTTGTAGGAGCTCATAGGGTAAGGACACCAAAGGTAGTTCTGTAACTGCAACAATCAAAGAGGATGACTGAGTGTGAGGAAAGCCAGAGAGGGTTTAAGGTTGGCTCATGGTGGTTATTTTTTTGATGTTTTATACAGGGCATGGTACGTGGATGGACGCGTTCTTGTTGTCATGGTGACGTTTGGTATAATCCTCCCTTTATGTCTCCTTAAGAACTTAGGTAAGACACAAATGCCATTGTGGGAATAAAATAAAGGAAGCCAGACATCATGCCGCTGACCGTCACACTGGCAACTCAACTGTAATTAAAAATAATGTGCTCTCATTGTAATCTAAGCAGCCTCCCTGGTCCAGGAGTAAGCTGTGTTTTGAGAATCTTGGAACAAGTAGGCCTGAATTGTCACAGTGGTTGAATTCAGTACAAACCAGCTTCATCCATACAATTGTGGAAATTCATTTAAAAATTATAGTTAAGAGGGTCTTCATTGTCATAAGGCAATTCTATTTTATGTGTAGGCTGTAAAAATAAGTTCACAAATTGTTAGATTACGAAAACTCATTATACTTATTATTACAAATAAGTATATGATTTATTTTTCTCTCAGCATTGAAATTTTTAGTCATGAGGTTAATTGGAAGTATTGGACTTTGAAGTAAGATGTGTATAGAGGACTGCGTTTTCAAATGTGTTTGAGTCTACAGAGATGCCAGTAGATACACAATGTGTTTTTTAAAACCGTGTCACAAGTTTTGGCATTGAAGTCCTGTTGGGATCTTCCTTTTGAGAAAATAACACCTACTCAGTTGACGTAGCTCATTATCAGGGAATCTGGGTCACATTCTGATTGCAATTGCACATTTTCAGGTTCGTTTCAATTATCACAGCCCCTTTCAGAAGTAAAATTAGTTAAACTGCTGGGAAGATGACCCTTGGGAAGTCAAAACAGTCAGAGCAAAGCTCAGGTCTGTCTGAAAGCCGGGAGGCTTGTGACATGGGCTTTTGTCTTGCCCAGAAGCTCACAATACAAATTAAATGTATAATACACTTAAACTTTTCTTGGAGCTTCAAAAAGAAGTAAAAACCAAGATATGGTTAATAAAACAATTTTGTGTGAGATTTCTTTTTAATTTCTTTCAGGATATCTTGGCTATACCAGTGGATTTTCATTAAGCTGTATGGTATTTTTCCTGATAGTGGTAAGTTCAGCTTGCTTTCTTTGTTGGATGAGAGTAACTTGATAGGCTATTCGCAATTTCTCTGATGTGTTAATTTTAATTTGCTTTTTATTATTGTTTTTAGCAATTAGCTGTCTTCCACTCTTATTCTAGGTTATTTACAAGAAGTTTCAAATTCCCTGTGACGGATCGCAGCTAAATGCAACATCATCTATCCTATCAAATAGCTCAGCACATGAACATATGTGTAAGCCAAAGTATGTTATCTTTAATTCCAAGGTATGTTTCTTTTTATAATAATTATTTCTAATTCACATAATATATGCACCTACACCCGTGTTCTTAATCCAATCAGTGCCGCGTAGGGCCTGATTCTCCGTGCTTCCACTCATGCTCCGATGGTGAACGCACAGCGGGTCTCCTTGCCCAGTCTTATGGAGATGCCATGTTGAATGTACTTCCTTGGGGTCTTGCTGTGCCCCCATAGTAAACGTGCTGAGGATGTGAGCCCCAGCTACCACTGGGCAACAAACGCTTTCTTTGGGAGAGTTTTCCTTTCCACTGCTCCTTATTATCCGTGCTGCAACTGCGCCTTTAGGCTGTAGTTCAGCAGAGGCTGAGTAAGCCATTCCAAAAGCATCCAAAGCCCACAAGTAATCTCACCGTCCTTCTGCACACAAACCACTTCTTTGTGACAGAGTACGTGTTTCCGTAGTCATATGGTGAACTGGATTGCGAAAAGGATATAGTTGAAAGCTAATCCAGCAAAAATTTGATTGCCTTTCAGCTGGATGCTTTCCTCTATCGCCACACAGCTGCAGGAAAGGTTGTGCCAAGAGAATGCGAAAGAGCAACTGGCTGTAGCTGTGGGAGCAGGAGGATTGCTCCTGTCAGCAGGGCTGGGGCGCAGAGCTCCTTCAACAGACCTCACCCAGCAGGACAGGCTCCTCAGGGTCGCGGTCGCGTTCGTAGGGAACGCGCGTGTATAACGTAAGCGCGCAAAAACTCAATTTTTTAAAGATTTGTCCTGCCCCTGCAGTTGAAGAAGCCAGTCCAAGCACTTTTCTTTAGTTGAGGGTAGCCATGAGCCCAGGGCCGGTGTGACGGACCAAGAAGTAGTTAACTTGGTGTGCAATAGCAGCTTAGGTGTAGGTATATTTTAGATAGGGTTGAAGGGCAGTCTTCTCCTCCTACAGTAATTGTCAGCATTTGCCTCAAGCGTCGATGGAGGCACATTGGAAGGATTGGTGCCATCTGAATTAGGCACCCTGGAGGTGAACTCTAGAGATATGCCCTCAGGGCCAGCAGCTTGCCAATCAATCTAGCAACTTTGGTGTGTGAGGAGAGAGACAGTTTCACAGAATTAGAGGATGGCTGAGGTTGGAAGGGACAATCCCCCTGCTCGAGCAGGGACAATTAGAGCCAGATGCCCAGCACGATGTCCAGGTAACTTCTGAATGTCTCCATGGATGGAGACTACATGTTGTAGTCTCTCCATGGAGACTACAACAGTAGTGTGCTGTGAGTGAGGGAGAGGAGGCCTGGGTGAGGAAGGACTGCTGGAGAGCCGCCAGTGTGTTTACTGACGGGCCTGGGGCGTACTGCAGGACGGCTTCTGTGGGAAGGGGATGCCTATGGCCAGCAGAAGCAGATCTCAAAGGGCCGGAGAGAGCCATGCATAGGGATGGACTCATTTTGTCCTCGCAGGAGGACCTGTTTTTCCTGTGATCTCTGCTCATACCCATTCCCTGGGGAGAATGGAAGCGCTTGGGCGCTGAGGTCATTTGTGAAGTTTGGCTGTACGCTGAGGATGGAAACTCGCTCAGGATTTTGGTGGAGAAGAGGGTGAGGTCCCCACCGGAGACCTCCTGCGCTTCCTGGTGACGTAACGGTCTCTCTCTTTCCCCAAGGAAAAGTATGCTCCCTCCACAGCCCTCCTAGCCCTTTTGTTGGCCTGGGAAATGAAGGGATTCAGTCTGGTACCTTGAAATATCCATTTATTTGTAAGTTCTGCATTCCTCTTCTCTTTTCTTACAGTCTGGATATGGGCTTCCTCTTCAGGACTTCAGCCATAGCACCACAGGTGCTCACCCCTCTCCATGCCAAGGCAGGGTAGCGTAGCCTTGACCCACCATACATCCCTTTTACGTGTGACGGTGTGCTAGTAATGGTGGCAGTAGTTGGGCAGGGAAACCCACCCAAGGCGGCAAAACCAGCAGCCGTGTGTCATCCAGTGCTGCGCTCTGCGAGCAGAGCCAGGACTGTGCTGGCATGACCAACGTGAAGACTTTGTCCTCCCGTTGAAAGAGCGCTGCTCCATATTTCATTAAATACATGCTAATTGAACAGGTCTTCTGCCCTCTCTGAAGGCTCTTGACATTCGGTTGAAGAGCCCAGAGAGCTGGGAGCTGAGGTAGTTGAACACGGATCATTTCTTCACGCCACTGGGGGAGATACTTCTTCTTAACTTCTTGTCTGAAATTCTCTCCAAACAGACCGTGTACGCTTTGCCTACCATTGCCTTTGCGTTTGTCTGCCACCCGTCAGTCCTCCCGATTTACAGCGAACTTAAAGAGTAAGCCTTTCCCTTTTCTTTTTTTTTTCCCAGCTAATTGTTTTGAACTGCTTTGCATGGAAAATGTTAGCGCAGAGGTGCTCTGAGTCATTCGTGCCATTCGGAGGAGATGTGCTCTAATAACACCCAACAAGCCAACGAGCGGGGCTCTCAGCTAGGAAATCTGGCCTCCCAGGCGTGCCGCTGGGGCGGGGGCGAAGGAGGTTGGGGATAATGCAATACTTTGGGATTTTTCTCTGGAAGTACACGGCAGCCTGGGGAGAGCCAAGTTGTGCTGGTTATTTGGCAGAGAAGAGAGACGTGTGTTCAGCTAACGGCATTTGTTCCAGTGCAACTAAAAATCTGTTGCTGTACCAGGAAAAAAAAAAAA